ATGTTCATATTTTTGAGGACCACCCTAATATACATATATGTACATATCGATGGCTGAGTGGAAGATCGACCTATCTCGGCAGCCAGTTCGAAAACGCTCTATTTCAAAAAACTTTTCAAGAACGCCCTATTTCAGAATTTAATTGAAAAACACCCTATCTCAAAATTCGGTTCAAAAACGTCCTATCTCACTTCAAAATGTATTGAAAATATGCTGATATAGGGCGTTTTTGAATCGGCAGCTGAGATGGGGCGTTTTTGAAACGAATTCTGAAATAGGGTGTTCTTGAAAAGTTTTTTGAGATAGAGCGTTTTCGAACTGGCTGCCGAGATAGGTCGATCTTCCACTCAACCATCGATATAATTACGATTTTTTACATCGAAAAAAATATATAGCCATAAATTCTTAAATTGTGGTTTCTGTAGAGTTTCAAAAATGAGTTAGTTTTATGTAGTTTCGTCAATCTTTGTGAAATTTGGTAGGAGAAAATTCGGTTACAGATCCAAAACAAAAAATCATGAACTACCTCCTCGTCTTACAAAAAGCTTTGAAATTAATTTTTTCTTTTCAAAATATCCTCTTAATGTTCAATAAACTGCTGTTATTGGGTATGCTGCTAAAGTAATAAATATGCGTCGTACCGGAAGCTTAGGCCTGACTGGCGTGGGAAGTTAACGGAAGTAATGCAACAACATCAAGATTTAGCACTAAGATTATTACTAAAAGTGAAAGAAAATTAATTTTAAGTTTGTCGCTTTAGTAAAACTTCCCCAACATTTTGCCTATGTACATCAGATGCTAGGTGCGACCTCCACATTTAACGGAGGGTTAAATATAATTACATAATTAGATATTTTGAAGTCTGCTTCCATTTTCAAAGATATTGCAATTTCCAAACTAATTTGCTCAAAAATTAATTTTCATAAAATTTAATACCCTTGAACAACTCTAAAACTCAAGCGAAATCCCGTTTCATTTGCGAGCTTTTTGACGCAACTACCCACAACCAAATACTTAACCAATACTTATGCTGTTGTTAAAGGGAATCGTTTTATTTTATTTGAGAATTCCTTAATTAACAACACCAACAATGAAATTCTAATGGTAGCCGAAAATGTCAAGTATACAAATAAAATTCGAATTCGCTTGGAAATTTCAGTATCAATTACAAAACCGCATACCCGCACAAATGCAAGCAACAAAAGGCAGCTGGTAGAGTGGTGAAATTGTGTGCGGATATTAGCGTGTACGCAGGGGGGTTGGGGGGTGAAAAGCACAGCCAAGGCAGAGGCAGGAGAAGGTGCCGTTGGCGCTTTTTCATCAGCAATTAATGCTGTGTTTTTGCGAGTGCCTACAGCCACAGCCACAGTCGCAGCCGCAGCGGCAGCCACCATAACCACCAACGTCGATGCAGGAAAACAACAATAAGAACGCCACAATCACTGCCAATGCCAAGTACATGTCGCAGACACACACGACTACAGCAGTTCCATCGAAGAGACGGAATGCTGGCAACTAACTCATTCGCTCAATGTTGCCACTCTCCAACTCCCAGTGTTGCCGTTTTGCTTAAATTTAAGCAAGATTGCTAAATTTTTTCCTGCCTGTTAAAATTTAAAATTTTTCTTCGTTTTGCTAAGTTTTTTTATTAAAATATTCAAAAAGGATAATTTTGTTTAAAAATTCATTTCTGACTATGTGTCCATTTTCAATAAATTTTTCAATTTTATTTTAGGATCTCGTATAAAGTTTCAGGCATTTTCAAACCTCCGAGTGTTCTGCTATGAAATCGTTTCTCATAAAAACTATTTGCAGTTCAGAGACGACCTTAGGCCCCTTCATTTGCTTGACAAACTCGTTTTATGCATGCATTCAAAAAAGAAGCGAATGGGCAGCTACCTATTATGGGAGTATATGTTGAAAGCCTGAAAAAAATGTGTAGGTAAAAGTTTTCAAATTAAGCAACTGTTAGACTATAAAATCCCTACTTTTGACCACAAAATTGCCTTTACTTACTTACTTGATTTTTTTTTTATTTCTATAACCAATTTACCAAGCTTAGTAAGAAAAGCCTCAATTAATTAAATAAGCTGCTTAATTTTTACGGGATTTGATAAATTTTTTTAACGATATTGGTAAGCGTTATTTTTCGGCCGTGGCAACACTGCTTCCAACTCCTCTCCACTCACTTGGCAACAACATTTCAAACATAATTTTCTTGTTGTTCTTAATACTC